TCCCGTGTGCTGCAGCTCAGGCCCCATTCACACAGAGACTAGCTTTGGCATTTCTGTCAACTGATGCCTGATTTATTCCTGAGGTAGTGTGGATCACAAAAGTGCTCAGGATGGTTATTCTGAGTAGTGTGGACAGATGGGTCATTTCAAACAAAAGGCAATAAACTCTAGGAGCTTTTGTCACTGAAGAGTTCCAGAGACCATCAGCCAGCAGAGAGCAGCAGCAGAGAGCAGCGCCCAGGAACTGACACAGCGTGTGTGGCATTAGGCAAGATGAGACAGTGGTGGCCAGGGCTCTGTGGCCAGCAGCAGCAGTGAGCAGCAGCTGATTGTGTCCAGTGTCATCTGCTGTCGGCTGGTGATATTAGGAATGCTAACGGAGGTTCACTGCGTTTTCCAAAACGCAGCCTGGACTGGTTGGAGACTTCTCCAGTGGGTTCCCCGCCCCACCGACTCAAGCTCCAGTTGGCGGGAATGGATGAGAGCTAGGACTCTCTCTGCCACTGCTATGGCCTTGGCTGTCTTGCAACCCCATCTCCAGGCCTGGTTAGAGATATGGAACACGTGGAGTGCAAACATCCCCCAAGGACTCATTTCTCTCAATCCCTGAGGTCCATGACAGGTCTAGGATGGCAGACAAGAGGCATCTAGATGAAGCAGGGTAATGAGATATCAAGAGGTTGGGAAAGGGAAAGGCCAAGAAGAGATGTGCACAGGAGTAGTACAATAGCAGTGGGTCTGACAGCCCGGTGTCCGTGCAGGGAGAGCAGGTCCTGCAGGCATCTCTGCCCTACCCTGAGCTCTGCTTACCTCAAAAAGTAAGAAGAGCTCCTTGTTGGATCGGCAGGCCACATGAGGACTGCACCTGGCCCTGAGGTGTCCCTCTATGAAGCTGTCTCTCACTTTCCTTGCTACTCTTCCTTTCTTGTCTGCTTTTTCCTTCAGGAGTGAGTACTGTATTGAACTACACCTCAGCTGTTCTATTACTTTTATTTTAATACCTGGTCTCACAAGGTTTTCTAGGCTTGGCTCCACCTTGGAATCCTCCTGGATGACATCATAGCTCTCCAGTAAGAGTAGGGACCTGTGGAGTCTCTCAGCTGTTCTATTACTTTTATTTTAATACGTGGTCTCACAAGGTTTTCTAGGCTTGGCCCCACCTTGGAATCCTCCTGGATGACATCATAGCTCTCCAGTAAGAGTAGGGACCTGTGGAGTCAGATGAACAAAGGAGTTTTAACAAATGCCTGACTCACAACGTGTCCAGTAGGTCCTTGAATACATCTTGTAGTCATTTCCCCGGTTCCAGGATAATTTTGGTAAGTATCTCAGTACTTTGCAGAATCTTCCTTAGGAATGGCCAAGTGCAAGCCACTAGAGTTGCCGGTAAAATAGTAAACCCCAAACACTCTCCCATCCCTGGAGGGACAGTAGAGGTTAGTGCCACTGTCAAGGACTTGAAGGATGCAGGAGAGGTGGTTCCTACCACATCTGCATTTAATCCCCCATTTGTCCTGTGCAGAAGAGGAGTGAGGCTTGGAGAAGGACGGTGGATGACTATAACTGGAATCAGGAGGTGACTTTGATTGCAGCTGCTGTACCAGATGTGGTTTCCTTGCTTGAGCAGATTAGCACATCTCCTGGCACTTGGTACGCAGCTATTAATCTGGAAAATGCCTTCTTCTCCCCAGCTATTCATTAGGCTCATCAAAAACCATTTCGTTCACCTGGCAAGGCCAGCAATACTTCTTTGCTGTCCTACCTCAGGCTGCTGACTCTCCAGCCCTGTATCACAATTTAGTTGGAAGGAGTCTTAGTTGCCTTTCTCTGCCTCAAGGTATCACACTGGTCCATTGCAGAGGTGACGTTGTGCTGATTGGATCAAGGAAGCCGGAAGTAACGACCACTCTGTGTTTGTTAGTGGAGCATTTGTGAACTGAACGATGGGGAATAAATCCAACTAAACTTCAAGAACTCTCTACCTCAGTGAAATTTCTAGGCATCCTCTCATGTAGAGATATCCTTTCTAAGGTAAAAGATAAGTTTATTTATCTGGCTCCCACTAAAACCACATATAAGACACAATGCCTAATGGGTGTATGTGGATTTTGGAGGCAACACATTCTTCACTTAAGGGCTTTGCTCTGGCTTATTTACTGAGTTACTCAGAAGGGTGATAGTTTTGAGTGGGGACCAGAAGAAGAAAAGGCTCTGCTAAGGGTCCAGGCTGCTGTGCAGGCTCTTCTGCCATTGGGGACATGATCCAGCAGATCCGATGATACTTGAAGTGTCACTGGCTGGTAGGGATACTCTTTAATGCCTCTGGCAGGCCCCCATAGATGAATTGCACTGAGGGTCTTTAGGATTTTGGAACAAGGCTCTGTCTCTATCTGCAAGCAAATACTCTCCCCTTGAGCTACAGCTCTTGGCCTGCTACTGGGCCTTAATGGAAACCATACTTTTGAGCACAGGACACCAGGTTACCATGCAAACCGAGCTGCCCATCATGAGCTGGGTGTGTCTGATCCACTGTGTCATAAAGTGTGATGTGCACAGCCACAGTCCCTCGTTCAATGGAAATGGCACATGTGTGATTGAGCCAGCACAGGTCCAGAGGCCGCAAGTAAGTTACATAAAGAAGTCTCCCCGATGCTCATGGCTCCTATTCCTGCTATATTGCCGCCATCTCTCAGTACGCACGCATGGCCCCATGGGATGTGCCCTATCATGAGCTGTCAGAGGAAGAGCAGGCACGTGAAGAGGGAAAGCCTGGTTACAGATGTTTCTGTACGTTATGCAGGTACCTCCAGTAGGTGGGCATCTGTGGTATCACGGCCCCTTTCCAGGATATTCCTGAAGGACAGTGGTGGAGGGAAATATTCACAGTGTTCAGAACTTTGGGCAGTGGGCCTGGTAGTACACTTTGCCTGGTAAAGAAAAAATGACCAGATGTGTGACTCTATATTGTATCATGGGCTGTGGGCAACGGTCTGGCTGAATGGTCAGGAACTTGGCAGGAACATGACTGAAAAATTGGTGGCAAAGATATTTGGGGAAAATGTATGTGGATAAACCTCTCCACATGGGCAAGGAGTGTAAAAATATTTGTATCCCATGCAAATCCTCACCAAAAAGTGACCTCAGCAGTAGAGGACTTTAACCATTAAGAGGACGGGATGACTCACTCTGTAGCTAGCTGTCAGCCTCTTTCTTCAGCCACCCTGTCATTGCCCAATGAGGCTCATGAATAGGGTGATTATGAGGGCAGGGGTGACGGTTATGCATGGTCTCAGCAGCATGAATTTCCACTCACCAAGGCTGGTCTGGCAACAGTCACTGACGAATGCCCCGCATGTGGGCAGCAGAGACCAACAGTAAGACCCTGGTATGGCCCCAGTCCCTGGGATGATCAGCCAGTGATCTGCTGGCAGGTGATTATATTGGACTGCTTCTACCACAGAAAGGACAGTGCTTTATCCTTACTGGATTGGCACCTATTGTGGGTATGGATTTGCCTTCTCTGCGTGTAATACCTCAGCCAAAACTACTATCTATGGATAGCATACCTTACCTACCAACATGGGATTCCACGCAGCATTGCCTCTGACCAAAATCCACATTTCACAGCCAAAGAAGTGAGATAATGGGCTCACGCTTGTAGAATGCATTGGTCACAGCACACTCCTCAGCACCAGAAGGAGCAGGATTGATAGAAAGGTGCAATGCTCTTTAGAAGACACAGTTCCAGTGCCAGCTAGGTGGCAATAGCCTGCAGGGCTGGGACAAGGTTTTTCAAAAGTTTGTATATGTTTTGAACCAGCATCCACTATATGATGGTACTTTGTCCCCCACAGCCAGGATTCACAAGTCCAGGAATCAAGGAGGTGGAGGTTGTGATGATGCCACTCTCCATTAAGCCTAGTGATCCACTAGCAATATCTTTTCTTCCCGTCCCCTTAACCCTTTGCTCTTCTGGCTTGGAAATCTTTGCTCCAACCGGAGAGGGTTTGTACCAGGAAATGCAACAATACCATTGAACTGAAAGCTAATACTTTTCCCTGGTCACATTTGTCGTCTCGTGCCTCTGAGGAAACAGCCAAAAACAAGTTACAGTGTTGGCAGGAGTGACTGACCCAGACTATTAAGGAGAGATTGGACAGTCACTAGGCAAGGGAGGAAAGGAAGGATATACTTGGAGTAAGAACATCCCTTAGGGTGCCTTCTAGCGTTTATTATCATGCCATTTCTAAGATCCATGAGAAGCTACATCAACCCAGTTCAGGCAGGATGACAAATGGTTCAGAACCTTCAAGAATGAAAGTGTGGGTCAGCTCATCAGAGGAACAACCAAGATCCGGTGAGGTGCTTGGTGGAGGCTTAGAGAGTGGATAGCAGAAGGTAGTTCTAAATACTAGCTATAACCCTGTGATCACCGACAGAAACAAGGACTGTAACTGCAACAGTTCTCTCCTAATATGCTTCCTAGGTAATATATTGTTGATAAACTTAATATTGGCTTGTAATCATTGTTAAACCTACGTCATAATCTTTAAATTATAAAGTGTTAAGAGTAAGCATCACACACCCCCCAAGAAAAACTTGCCTCCTATTCTGGGGTGGAAATCAGTGTGTTTCCATTCGCAAGCAGGATAGATGTAACATGTTAGGTAACATCACGAACTTGTATGTATATCTGGAGACTATGGTGTAAGGAAAAGTATCTGTCTGTCAAGTTGTCAAGAGATGGGTTGTGATAGCTAACTGATTGCATCACTTGATTATGAAATGCCCAACTAGATTGGATCAGAATAGTTCTGGGTGTGGCTGAAGCGATTCATTGAAGATATGAAAGCTCATCCTGGGTGAGTGGCACCAATAGGCTGTTTGCTTGAGCAGAATAAAAGGTCCGGTCTTCGCCTTCCCCTTGGACGTCATATCCCGGCTTCCAGGACAGGCCTTTCCGTCTTCCCTTGCAGATCCCTTGGCTCCTGATACAGACCCCACGGGACACTACAGTGAGCTCCAGGCCTCTGACGGACCCCTTGGCTCTCCAGTGCACCGAAAGCCCTTCTGCACTCTTCCACACCCGGCTCTGCAGGAGGCCATTGTAAGCCGACCTTCTTATTTCTTATGTATTTGTGTATCTTGCATTAGTGAATTCCTCTGCTAAGCCCTGACCTGTACCTGGAGGCAGGCAAATGGAGAACTATAATGAGGTATCAAGAGGCTTGAGAAAAGGACCGATTAAGAAAGAGAAGGGCCAGGGATTTAGCTCAGTGCTTCCACTGCCTGCCTCCCAGGTGCAAGGACCTGAGTTCGTTCCCTACTAGCGCCCGCAAAAAAAGAAGAAAAACAAAGAAAGAAAGAGAAGAGCACAGAGAGCTAGTGTGACACCAATGTGTGTGTGTGTGTGTGTGTGTGTGTGTGTGTGTCCGTGCAGGGAGAATGGGCCCTGCAGAGATCTCTTCCCTACCTTCGCCTCTTCTGCTAGCGCACCTCCCAAAGTGAGGAAAGAGCTGCTCTGCTGATTTGGGAGGCCACCCACAGACTGCACCCGAGATCTGAGCTGGTCCCATGCAAGGCTGTCTCTGACTTCCTAATCCTTCTTTTTGTTTATTTTTTTTTTCGGCTTTAACTGAGTTTATCAGTACATTTTAGCGATACAGTACAGTTACATTCATTGTTGGGATCTTGTACCTCTACATGACAGGTCTTGGTTCTCATTTTTTCCCCTTGTCCCTGCCCTCCCTTCACCTCCTACTCCCCTCCCCATCTACAAACACTCTATTCTCATCTTTTCATTCTCTCATATTTTTTTATTTTCCCTTATTACCCTTCCCCTACCCATCCCAGCTTCCCTACACCTTTAGCTCCTTTCTTCCCATTTCTAAATGTCAGTAATCTTACTAGGATCTTATGTGTTATTGCAGATTATTCACACCAAAGAAACTATTCTGTATTTACACATGTGTGCCTTATTTATTTCACTTAGGTGTATATCTTCAAAATTTATACATTTTCCTATGAATGAATCTATTTTCTCTTTCTTTATGGCTGAGTAATATTCCATTTTATAGAAAAACCACAACTTCTTTATCCAGTTTCCAATGGATGGGCAAATGGGCTGTTTCCAAGATTTAGCTATTACAAACTGTGTCGCTATAAACATGGGTGCACATACTTCTCTGTGATATGATTCTTTTAGTTCTTTTGGAAAGATACTCAGCAGAGGGATGGCTGGGTCAAATGGAATCTCCAGTCCAAGCTCTTTGAGGTATCTCCATATTGATTTCCATAGTGGTTGCACCAGTCTGCACTCCCACCAACAATGGGGAAGGGTTCCTTTCTCTCCACAACCCCACCAACATTTGTTATTGTGTGATTTCTTGATAGCAGCCATTCTTTGTGGGATGAGGTGGAATCTCAGTGTTGTTTTCATCTGCATCTCTCGAATGATCAGTGATGTGGAACATTTTTTCATATATTTACTTGCTGCTTTTACTTCTTTGTCTAAGAAATGTCTGTTCATTTTTGCATGCCCATTTTTGAATCGCATCTTTATATTTGGGGGGGATAGATACTTCATTTTTTTGGATGCTATTGTAAAAGGAATTTTTTCCATTATTTCTCTCTCCATGAGTCTGTTATTTGTGTACAAGAACACTATTAATTTTTGGGTGTTCACCTTGTATCCAGCTACTCTACTGAATCTGTCAATTAAGTCTAGAAGTCTTTTGGTGGAGTTTTTTGGATCTTCAATGTAGAGTATCTTATCATCAGCAAATAATGACAGTTTAACTTCTTCCTTTCCTATCTTTATTGCTTTAATTTCTTTCTCTTGTCTAATTGCTGTGGCTAATGTTTCCAGAACTATATTGAAGAGGAGTGATGATAATGGGCATCCTTGTCCTGTTCCTGATTTTAACTTGAAGGTTTTCAATTGTTGGCCATTTAATATGATGTTGGCTGATGGTTTTTCATAGACAGCCTTTACTAAGTTGAGGTGTAGACCATCTATTCCAATTTTTTGCAAGGTTTTTATCATGAATGGGTGTTGAATTTTATCAAATGCTTTTTCTGCATCTACTGAGAGGATCATATGGTTTTTGTCCTTGACTTTGTTAATATAATGTATTACATTTATTGACTTTCGTATGTTGAACCACCCTTGCATCTCTGGAATAAACCCGACTTGGTCAGGATGGATGATCTTCTTAATAATCCTCTGTATTCTGTTTGC